AGCCATGCTTTAATTGGATTGATGGTTTTTGTTTATCTAGTGATGGAATTTTTATTTAGGTTGTTTTATATTAGTGTCACAATTGGCTTCATGGGCGATATCTTTGAAACTGCACTGGTTGCAGTTTTATAGCCAACCTTTAAAAAACCTCAACAGATACTGATCAATCTTATTCTATAGAGGGGAACAAGAAATTAACAATACACCTAAAATGATTAAAAACTGGCTTTAATGCTTAAGATGATCCTTTGGGATAGAAATGGAATAGAATGATCAAAATTGAATAATATTCAAATACATAGGGGCAAAGTTTTGACATAATTATTTTTAACAACATGAAAGATCTTTTTGTTTTTCAGTATGAAACAAATAATTTCTCAGCAGATTTACAGACGCTAGTTCAATAAATCCCAAATAAATAACCTACATGTAACATATTAAGGTGGTATTGTTCTTTTAATGTGTAAAATTATGGCTGAAACAATTAATGGGATTGATGGATTATTAAAATAATCAATAACTAATGTAATTAATTAATCGTTAACTGGAGTATAGAGACTCTAAAACGTGCCTTTAGCTGCCAGAGTAACCCACTTAGAGCAGGAATCATACAAAGATTGTGAACAAAATATATAAAGATTTTTCATTTAAGATCTCTCTATTTGCTCTATCCAGAAGTGGAAAACTTTTAGTTTCACCTGGTTTAATTCTGTACAAAATCTTCTCTAAGGACCCTTAGGCTATCCGATTATTAATTGAAAAAAAGTAGATTAATTGATGAGCAAAAATAATCGTTAGTTGTAGCCCTAGTGTAAATAATCCTGAAAGTGTGCAAAGAAAAGCCAAAATATGCAAGAAGCACTTGTTGTTTTATCCATAACGATGCAGGACTAGTAGGTATCCGGATACAGATTAGAAGTGTCGATATTTCTCAGTGAACTGATATTTTTGAAAAACGTCAAACTGAAAAGTTTAGAGCTTAAAAGCTAATTTTCAGCACTTTGCAGAGATTGATCATTTATCTCACATCCAGATATCTTCTGATTGCAAATCCCCAAATAAATAATAATAATAGAAAATAAAAATTGTGTTGATCCTCCAAATCTGAATTGGTTTAAAACTCTGCTTGCCTGTAGACCTCAGGTTTGGAAGATACATCTTTTTTGTGTTTTTACAGATTTAGATTTTAATTTAAGCCTGGAAGAAAACTGTTGTTTTTAAATGGTAGAGTTAACGGGAAGAAAAATAAAGAATCAACAGAACAAAACAGCATCAGAACAACAACATGTTCCAGATTAAAGCTCTTCAGCTGCTTGTTTTTTCTCCAGCGGGAACCAACTGAGGCTCTAATCTGAGCCAAAGGGGCACCGGACCGGGCCGGACCTTCACATCTATTAGTTTTCAGTCCGTTTCCCCCTTGTTCTCCGCCTCTCTCCAACACTTCCCCTTTCTGAAGGTTTTAACATTCTTTCCGCTCCGCAGTCATCGTGTATTAGTGGGATTTTGGTCGCACGCTGCCCCTCGTCTGTTTCAGAACACCGTGTACCATGTAACCCCCCCTCCCCACCTTCATCTGCTGCTCCAGCTGCCACTTGTTGCATCTACAGAGATCATTCCTCTCATTTTTAGTTTTTCTCGACTCAGTCAGAGTAGAGTTGTTTTTTCTGTTTGTTTTGTAAAAGTTTTTCCACAAACTCGATGCCCAGTCAGAAAGTGGAACGTTTTCTTTCAGACTGTCAGAACCACGTGTTTCCTCTTCCTTGTCCTCTTCTGCTGAATGAAATGTTCAAGAATTTTCCATGACGAATCTGAAAGGTGACAAAGTGGGGCATCTAAAGCTGTGAGCGATCACTGGCAGCGTGACTAAGAAGAAACATCTGCCTTTTGATCAAACTATGATGTCTACATCAAAAATTCTAGGT